AAAATTTTTACATATTTAAATAAATATAAGAATGTAATTTCGATTTATTTTATAGCTTTGTTTCTGTAAAAATTAAATAAATATATACTTATTAGTAAAATTTTTTATATAATTGAGCTATAATTTTCATCGCAGACTTGTAAATTCCTATCGTTGTCTGTCTGTTTTTCTATTGTTATTCCAAGAAACATCTATCTAAATAGATAAAAATCCTAAATAAATATATACTTATTAGTAAAATTTTTTATATAATTGAGCTATAATTTTCATCGCAGACTTGTAAATTCCTATCGTTGTCTGTCTGTTATTCTGTTCTTATTGCAGGAAACATCTATCTAAATAGATAAAAATTCAAACCAGATATAGAAAGCCAGACACAGACCGGAAGTTTTTATATAGTTAATTCATGTCTCCGATTTCTAGGCTTCTTATATATGCTCTCGATTTCCATCTATTTAATTCTTTTCCCTATATTACCGAAGGGCAGTCAGACGATAGTGGAAATGTATAGGTCTGCAATTACATAATTGCAGCCCAATTATACAAATTGCGACGAAATTCAACAGTAACTTATCAGTGAATCCATTCGAATAATAATACAGTAATATATTTAGAACTTTAGTTATATTCGTAATAGTTATTATTTAAACTAATAACACGCGGTCCATTGTTATTAGATATCTATATTTATTGTGACATTATTTCAAAATATTCTTAGAGAAAATGCTCGAAAGCAAAATCGAACGGACAACATTGCGTAATTAAATTAGATCATACGCGAATATTAACGTAGAACAACAGTACAATTAATTCCTAGTAACATATTATGAATTAGAACAATTGAAAAAAATAATAAAATATGAAACAAGTAAAAAAAATTGCTGCAAGTTTTAATCGTGTTTCTAAATTTAAAATATATTCTCTTTATTTAAAAGTATAATATATGATTACTTTTATATTATATATAAAATATGTATTATGAAACTGTATGCAAAACTTTAAACTTTCTTAGAAACTTAGTTTACACTTTGTATGTACAGCCACCCAGACATTTAAATATATACAGAAACATAAAAGTCGGAAAACACAATAAACTGTTGTCTGAATTTCAAATAAACCAGAACAAAAGTCGGCGAAGATCACAAATTAATACATAGAATTTATGTAAAAGTGTAGACAAATCAAGCCTTTGTGGTGATTTTAGCAAAATCATAGAACTCATAATTTGTAAACCTCCGCTTAAAATTTTGCTTAACGCAGATTATATTATACCTTTGTTGACAGTGAGTTAAATAATACTATTATTTCAATTAATTAAATGATAAAACGTAAGAGTCAGTCAAATAACCGGGGACAAACAGAAACACAGTAATACTACGTTCGCGACTCACTTCGATCTCGATTTACCTACAAATTGCATTCTGACTGTCAAGCTGTTTGCACAGGAAGTCCGCTCGAGAAGGAACCGGTTATTACACGCGATGATAAAACTGAGATAACAACGCGGTAAATCATGGATATCAACAAACAACATTGAAGTTTTGGTTATAAATAAACGCTTTATCTTGCCATATATCTGATAATACACGGATGACTTTTTTATTTTTCTGTTAACAGCCGACTTCTTGTATTTTCTCGCGCGTGTGAGATCTTGCGAACTCTCTAATAACTAAATCTAGTTTTAAGAACTATCTTGAATCTATCGCAATTAAACCTAGTTTCAATCGAGAGGGATTGCACTTAAGCTTTTGATCACAATTAGGATTGAAATATTCACTGCAAACGGGGTATAACAAACTAAGATGCGGCCTTATCATTGAATCAGTTATGGTTATAATCATACATTTAGTTTCATAATCAAGAGAGTAGAGCCAGTTAAAAGTGAAGGCTATAATGTTCTGTTTTCGCATTAACTGTTTTTATTAACTCGTCTAAACTTCAGGCGTAACAGTAGCGTGTTCTATTGTCACAGGTACTTTATACACAATGAAAGTACACTGAGAGCGAGATAAAGAAATTCTTGTAAATATAACTGTTATTCAGACGTTGATTCGAACCGTCAAATGACTTAATGAATTGGTATTGACGATTATGACATTATGTTTTAAGTAAATTATTCACTAGTAGAATAACTTAGTGTTAAAGTGAATTGAATTTCACGTGAAGTTTTATTTTTGCACATTTATCGTAACCTTTATTATTCGTTTCGTTAATTAACATAAACATTCCAAATCTTACATGGATTAACTTTTATTAAATAATTGTCATGTTATAATTAAAATTTACGTAATCTTTTACGTACCTTTTTCATTATGCAGCATTTACTTTTTTCTTTTCCAGCAGGAAAAGATCATTGATGGCAGTTTGTAAAACATATAGACGAACATATCCGAACACTTTGTAGTCTTCTGAAAAGAGTATAAATGTATTGGTAAACTAGGAAATGACAACTACAAAGATTAAGATTATTACATTACTTTGTACTTGTAACTCTTCTATTATATTATATCATTATATTTGATTTATAAGCACAAGAATTATCTTATGTGAGGGTTTACCACACTGAGAGACAATCTGACACATTTTTTTAAACTGTGTACAATAGAAAGAAATAAAAAATGTTTATAGTGTGCTAAATTGGTCACTCGGTGTGTTAAATCCTTACGTAATTATACAAATCAAATACTATAATATAATGACCATGTAATAAGTAATTATTTTAGTTTAACGTTACTACGTTTATAGCGATACTCGGATTTTAGGAAATAGCCTAATTTCATTTGTGAAGTAAACACTAATTTAAAATATATCTTCAATTTTTACGATGTTTGTACTGACAAACCGTTTCATTCACCAAAGTGTTATCTGCCGATCAATCAAATTTGGTGGAAATACGCCAAAGATTTAAATTCGCAGTGTAGAAAACCATTTAAAACATATTTTGTGTTTGCCAATAACCTAGAATTCTGTAATGTTTTTAATCGAATGCCATCATCCCGCTGTAACAATCAATTTTCCACAAATAAAATATCTCAGTGTATTCGTAAATTTGCTTATTTTCAAAGTAATATTTAAATATTTTCAAACTGTCTTTTTCAAAATTTCTATATAAAGTTTCTAAGGCCAATCGTTTAAAATGCATAAAATTATTATAGACTCGAAAATCTTAAAATACCAAAACGGTATTCAAAAAGTTCAGCTAAGAACGAGAATGGGTTTATAAGCTTAAAGTAAGTAAAATTAGAAAATATTATCTTACTTCATCATCATCTTGTTCGGATTCGCTTTCCCATGAATATTTATCAACACTAGTTCTTGTTTTATCAAATTCTTTTATTACTTTCGAAACTAAAAGATAATAATTTTTTAATTAATTTACATTTCAATTTTTTTGTAATTTAATATCACAATGCGTCCATTAACTATAAATAAGGAATATTGTAATGCCGCAATGCAAGACTGCAATTTTTCAACATATTTTTTACGTATTTAATTTATAATATACGTTTTTCATCTCAAATTAGTAGTGTCTTGCCCCTGTACATAACACTGTTTCTAATAACGACAAAATCGTGCCGGTCATCTACTTAATTGCGTTTGGAATAAAATATTTCAATTGAGATCATTCGATATTCGGTTAAGACCTTGATTTGGTGTACACTTACTAGGGCGGTTTTTGTAACAATAAAATTCTTCAGAAGAGAAAACGATTCGATTTTAATTGTCAAGTTTTACAAGAGTTTATTTCACATTTATATACATTTACGTGTAAAATGTTCATTATATTCGACCTTTCTGAAAATATGCACGCACTTCCTCTATTACCTTACCTCTCGACTTTTAGTTACCAAAATTAAATTGTCTCTATGCCTCTTTGGTAGAAGTTTTCGTGCAAACTTTTTCTCTTATTGTTAGCGTATTGTGAGATATTAAACGAAATAGATGTGTAAACAAAAACACATATAACTGTTTCAGCAACAAAAATAATTATCTCAAGTATTTATGACGAAATATATGGAATGTTTTAGAAATAAACATTTTGAAATTAATGTAATTTAGAATCGTTTCGAATATAATAAACTACGACATTTAACACACTCGAAAAACTCTACATAAATAATTAATATTAAGTTACTTAATTTAAACAGATTTCAACACAATGAATTAAACATTAAATTATTCCTTAATAATTTATGAACGAATTATTTTACGAATCGGAAAATTTGTTATAATCTCTTTGTGACCTCACCTTCCTCCATTACTTCTCCTGTTTCATTTAAATCCAAGGAGTCTTCTTTCTCCATTTCCAATTTTTCAGCGGAATTCTTTAAAAAGTGAAAAATTCTGATTTATGATAAAATACTCTTACAGTGCTCGTACTGTTTTTTTATTAACTCAAAAAATATTTATTTAATAATAAATAAACAATTTGCAGCTATTTTAAATAACACATTTTATAAGATTGTGTATGGTTGTTGTAGGTTTTTAAGTTGTAAACTTTTAAATAATAAAAAGTTTTAAATTATTTTCAATTATTTGCATTGAATTGTAACTTACAGAAGAAGACGATTTTGCTTCTTCTCTTTTTTTGCGTGCAGCAAGATCCATAATTATATGCACGATCGTCTCGACCGATTGCTCTAGGGTGACTTCTTTTTTATCACCTGAAACTTTTTCCTTTGAATTATAAACGCTTTCTTTTTCATCACAATCTAAAGAATAAAAGTAAACACAATAAACACAGAAATTCGTAACACTTTCTTCACCTTAATTCAAAAATCGTATAGGAATTAAAAAGAAACTAATTAATTTCTGCTTAAAAATTTCTTAAATTAAACGTGATATAAAAGCATGTGATTTGGCATTATTAATTGTCTGGAAATTTTAAATTGTTTCAATCATAAGGTCAACTGAAAATGTAATATTACTGAAAAGTTACTAGCGTATACTCAGAAGATTGCTTTATCCTCATTCGTACAATATAATAAAAAGTCCATTTAAAATGAGTTTTACATATTCAGTTATCAAATTAACTTAAAAAGTGTAAATAATCAAATATTTATTTATATCTTTATACTCGAAAAACAACGATAAAAAATAAAGAGAAATCAATGGATAATTGTAACCAATTAAAAGTAATTTCCACATTCGTTACTCTTTCGTTACAACTTTTTACTTATAAATGAGAACTGTTTGCATTTATGTCGCGGTGAAATAGATTTATTTATTCAACAATATCCATAGATAATGTAATAGACAAAACACTTTGTACGTATGTAATATAGCATTGCTCGGTGAGCAGAACCTGAAATGTACTTAAAATCAAGTCGTAAGTATACATTAATCACTAATACATTAGCCTTTAGATTACATTTCTTACAACTTTTCATAAGATTATTTTAAAGTAACGAGAGATTTCAATTTTATTTTTGATTATCTTATCTTATTGTAAAAGTGCTTTTGTAATTTCTGTTTGCTTCTTTTTATTCATCTTAACGGAACCGAATATTTAAATTTTAGAAAAAGATGCAGAATTAAAATAACAAATTTTTATTTATTCGCAGAAAATACGTTTAATGCTGTAATTGTCTTTGACAGAAAATGAATGCAAAGTTAAATATCGTTCCAACGTATAACGTTTTTATTGGGATATTTAAATATCTTGTAGAAAATTACTATTTAATGCGTGTTTATGTATTCATTGCCAACAGGTTATAAAAGATATAATATAATTATACATCAAAAAAAAAATTAACTTACTATTAACCTCCATTTTTCTCAAAAAATCGCTTGCGATAACTTACTACAATCGTATTAAGAACTCCAACAATAGTTGAACAAGTATTCTCAAAATTTATTGTTTAGCAACAATCAAAACGTGCTTACGGAATGCTAATCACAGCGCGTGCTAAGCATTACGCGTGTTAATCAATTTTATTTTGGGGTTTTTGGTTGGCTGATTATAAATGTGTGATTATAATTGAGGTTGTTTCTTTTATTTCTCTATACATTTTTTAGCCGTTCGACCAATCGCTAATAATTTCGGTAATTACTTTCAAATCCTACTAACGAACAGTACATCATGTCGTACATTGCTTTTCGAATTATCGATTAAATTTCTGTAAATCATTTATTTTTTTTTACATATGATTTTCGTTCATTTAGTTATTGCAACACAATTCTTAGGCCATCTGCATAGAAGGGTGTTTTCCGTAAGGATTTTTAAAAGGAAACTTTCTTCTTTTTCGGTACTAGCTCGGGTACCCGGCTTAGCTCGGGGAGTCGAAATGAGATTGTGTGGTAGTTGAAATAAAAAAATAAACTTTAAAATATAAGAGGTAAAAAATTGTATTGAAAACATATTTTAACTATTTACAATACTTGTTTCTAAACAACATTTTTCATTTTGTTATCCGGATTATATATGTAAATATTTTCGAATTTCTTACTCGAGAGCAAGCTACGTATAGTTGACGGTGAGAGAAGCAGGAGTTTTTGAGGTTGATGCCGCAATGTCTTAAAATGTGTCCTTGTGCTTTGTTAATTGTAAAATTATAGGCTAATTTGATTGAAAATTGCAGTCTTTTAAATTGGAATGGCAGTTCAGTAGAGATCAGTGGTATTTTGGGGATAAGTACTGTGTGTCACTTGTCCTTTCCAGTCATAAGTTCGGCTTTGATAATGTTATTCGATAGCTGTTTGACGATCATCCTTGTTCCATTACATAGTTTTGGTGAGTTCAAATTCCTGGTTAGTTTGATTGAAGATCCTATTTTCAGTCGAAGGATTGTAATGGCATTTCTGGTACTTGCAAACAGTTTAGAAATTCTGTAGGGAAGTTGACACTTCCTTCAACGTTTACGATCGTGTCGATTGATTTGTATATTCTCTCCTTACCGGGAATTTTCTTTTGAATATTAAATTTGATATCGTCGACGATATTATTTTTAGTCGCCAAAATTGCCTTTTAAAATAGCCATTCCGGATTGGTATAGTTGTGAACAATGTTTGAATAAATTTGGTGGATGAATTCGTTTTCAGTAGTGGCTATGTTGCAAAAGGTATGTTGATGATATATTCATAATATGAAAAACAATCGACTAATTGCAAACTTCATGGATACGATTAACGATAATGAGGAAGGCCTTAGCTTAAAAACTAGAGCAAAAAAGCTCAGTTATGGTACATTTTTTGGACATTAATATTATATTTAGAGAAGGACGTATATCTACCGGGATATTTATTAAATTAACGCATAGCTTAATATATATAACTACAAGCTCTAAGGATCTTTATAGATATAAATTAGCAGCATTTCGAGCATTTGTTAGGAGGGCTTTTTATACTGCGAAAATATAATAGACAGGGATGCAGAAATAGAAAGAATCATGCAGGTAGCAGAAGCATTGGGCTACAAGAATAATGTTATAAAGGGGATTATCAATAAATTAGAAGTTGGGACAGATATAGTATCTGTTCGAGGTCCATCTACAAACACGAAATTTACGTACAACAAGCGCTTAGGAAGCATTATGAATGAAATCGCAAATATAAAATATACAAGGATGGTCTTAAAAAGAGCTCCGAATTTGTACAGAATACTTAGAAACGATAAAGAGTTGGTTAAAAATGATATGTCGGGTGTATATAAGATCCCATACGAGAATCAGATATTAGGAATAAATAAAGAATATGTTGGGGTTACTACTAGAAACCTAGGTGTAAGGATAAAAGAGCACAGATATAATATTAGAAAAGGTTCTAATGCCACAGTATTGGCTTAAATGGCACAAACGGAAGGTTCAATATTACGATGGAATGAAGCGAAAATCCTGAAACAGATACTCTCTTTGACTCTGGCAAGAACGGCTGAAAAGTTAGAAATTTATAGAAGCAAACTTAAAGAAAATTGCATCAACGCAAGAGGAACTTCCTTCCGCCTGAAAGTTTGCAATTAAAAACTTAAAACAAGAGCAGGAACTTTAATAATATTTGTAGTAAAATCTCTGTATAGTTAAGTAAGCAATATTAATATTTAGTATTAACAGTTTGTCTATTAAGTTAGAGATATTCACAACTTGTTTGCAATTTTTGACTATTTTATTTTATTTTTAGTATTATCAGCATTTGTATTAATTTTATTATTTACAAACATTATTTGGCTATTAATAGCGTATATGTTATCGGTTATTAATACAGTAGAGCGTCGGTTATCCGAAACGTCAGTTATCCGAAAGAATTCTAGTCGGCCTAAAGTATAATTTTTATTTGTTTTTATATGTTTCAATGTATATATTTCGTTTGTAAAACATGAAATTATTTTTAACGATACAATAGCCACGATTATTATTTTAAAAAGTTTACGTTAAGCTTAACATCGACGAAAGTTCAACGCGAAGCGACACGCAACGGAAAAAAATTTCAACACGGGATAGGTTAATATATTTTTTCGTATATAATCGGTTATCCGAAAAATAAGTTATCCGAACAACCCCAGTCCCCAATTGATTCGGATAAACGACGCTCTACTGTATTTATATTATGTATTTTAAACTTGTTGTTCTATTTTTGAAGTGTTCCCTTTTGTTTGATGATGATCCATTGATTGGATTGAAAACATTTGTTTTAATAATAAATCTCTCAGCGAGTGATTAGGTGTTCATTAATTTACCCCTTAACGACCACCTGTAATTAATTATAATGTAATTAAGCATAAATAATACATTAAAAATACTTAAAACTGAAAAAAACGAAAGAAATGCGTTAATTTTGAAGAAAAAGCTTCAAAATTTATTTTCCTTTCTTTCCCCTTTCTGTGAAATACAGTCGACCCCTCTATAAGATATAGATATGTTCCAATTTATTAGGAATCCGATTTCTCACAAGTCGTTCCAATCACAGCCTGACACGTGTCAAGTTTACGGTCTACGGCTGATTGAAAGGTTTTCTTCCATAAAATTAATCGATTCTATACTAATCCGATTCAACATTTCCAAAATACGTATATTTTTTCGTAGTTTTATAGGAATCGTAATTATAGGGACCGTAATTATAGGGAAGTCGACTGGATGAGTCATTGTTTACACAGCTGGGTGACCTTGAACACAGCTGGAGTCTGATTTCCAGGGGCATTCTCATATATGTCTCTGGAGGGCAAGTGTTTAAAGTAGGGTGAGTATGAGCTACGTGTGTATTTTTAAATATTTTTAAAAAATGAAGATTTTAATTGCGATATCCGACCCCCCTAATTAATTAAATTTATATAAAATAAAATACATTAATTAAAAAAATTTAAAAACTATTGGAGGTCGTTTTTGACATCCGTTTTTGACATCAGAAAGCAGCTTTAAATAACTTTACCGAAGTCAAATCCGTGCACTAAACTTAGGAACCATAAAATAAATTTGATAAAAAACTCCCATTAAAAAACAATTAAGCCTTAATCGAGTCTTATCAAAGGCTCATTAAAATCGCTATAAAATTTTTTCGCGCGGGCAAAAAATGTTGAAAAAATTTGGGGAAAAACATTTCAAAAACATTTCAAAAATTGAAAAAAAAATGTTTTGTCAAAAATGCCCACGTTTTTCGTAACGCAATGTAAACTTGACGAGTTTTCTCGTCAATGGGCGTTAAGGTATGTTATCTCTTTATACTTATTGTATCGCCACTTTTTTCAGATAAATTTGGTTTGAAGAAAACAATTTTTTGGCATTCCTTTTTGGTTTGAGGCGAGATTTTCCTTTTTTTGGTAACGGATAGTGTTTTGATTGATGATGGCATCCTTATCAATAGTATTCAGAGACCTCCTCATACTGCCTTTTTCAACTCGGGTGAAATCATTCGAAAATTCGAGTATTGAAATAAACGGATGAATAGAAACGATAGTACTTGGACAAGCAGGGTAATAGCAGCAGTATCAAAAATACACTATACTTATATGGATTTTATCGTCCTTTTCTTTTTAATTCTTCATTATGCTATCGTTATTAAGTATAAATATTTAATTATTAAATAATATTCTGCAAAAAATTAAATATTATAAGTTTTATTTTATCATAAAATGAAAATGATATAGTATTAAATACAGTTGTGCTTCATTGTCGAAGTTTTCAAACTTAATTTATCTTAGCAAGCCATTCGAACTCAGAATCGTTCGATGTTTGAAGCAGATTTCTCACTATAAATAACGGAAAGTTAATTAAACTATCTCCCGAACCTAAACAATATTTGTCGGGCCCCGTCTTTCACTGCATGGCGCCCTATTGAGTGGCTGGTCAAACCAATAATGGGCTTGCTAACACATAAATCCTAGTACTCACGAGGTGGAAAGTGTTAAATGCCCTAATAATAAATAAAAAATCAAAAACAGCAAATAAAATACTTGGATATAGTATAATAAAATGAAAATTGCATTAGTTATCAATGATTATATTGAGTTCTCCGTATGATTAACACCTATCCTTACTTAACTTAGATGCGTGATTTAATTATTGCATTTAATTATAAAAACACCATCTCACGTTGTTGCTACTTGGAGATTCTGATTTTTGGTAGATAGAGCATTTTGACGTTTAATTTCATTTTATTGTTAAAAATGGACGAATAACACGCGATATGACAGATATAAACAAACAAACCAAAAATAATACCATTAAAGAACACAATACATACGAAGCTAACGCGCAAGCGAGAGACAAATTCAACGTGTACACTTCTCGTGCATTTTTCACTGAACTTGAAAAGCAATGAAATTTTTAACCCCTTACTCGTTAAATAATGTTTTGTCGAGAACACCTTGGGGCGTATTTTAAATATATTTTTTATTTATTTGTTAGCTTGAAAATTCGTTTTCACACCTAAACTAAAATTCCTACATACGGATAAAAATCTCGAATTTTATTTGCACTTGAAATTCAAACAGAACAGGACGAACAATGCACGAGAAATCGTCTCTCTCTCGCGTTACATTCGTATATGTTTTGTTCTTTTATCGCTTTATTTTAGACGTGTTTGTTTCTATCTGTTAAATTGTGTGTTATTCGTCCATTTATAACAACAAAATAGCATTAA